TGTGTATTATTGGTTTTAAGTTTGCTGATTTTTTTTCACAGTTTCTAATTATGATTCCAACAGGTGTTATCTTTTGATGCCTACTTGGAAGATGAAGTGCCTGATAAAAGGCAAGAAAGCTTTAGAATAAGATACTATGAAATCTATTTCTACCTTGAAGATGACACCATTCAAGTCAATGAACCAGAAGTGATCAATAGCGGACTGCCTCAAGGTATCTATATAAAGCAGCATTATGATTCTTTCCGTCATAACTCTTGCCTTTGTACATTATTTTTCTTTAGTTTTTTTTGAAAGGTCCCAGGCTAATACGTAGACTTCTCAGTTTTGGGTAGTGGTGAGTAAAAACATGCTGTTAACCTGTAGTTACTGACAGTAACTTAGCATATTTCCACCACTTAGAACTCCACACTGGCCATTTCTCTCCTCCCTCTGTGCTATGCTGTGTTATTATATCTAGTGTTAGTAAAATCTCCTGTGTCTTTTACTCTGTCTTTAAGCCTTTTGGTCTCTTTTCCCACATCACCATCACCACATCCTTAGATGAAAAGAAAGCTTTTCTCCACTGCAGATTACAGCTTGCATTTTTTCTCCTTTCTTGAATTTATTGCCCTGCCATTTTCTCATCATGGCCCTCCTCACCTGCATACTGTTAACTAATACCATTTATGGTAGCTCTCAAGACTTTGATGTTTGTTTAACTATGTTAGCTTTACCGTTGCTGTGACCAATTCTTTACAGAAACAACGTAAGGTAGGAAAGATTTGTTTTGCACAGAGTTTCAGAGGTTTCTTGGTGGAGGGAGTGTTGTGGAACAGCTCACATCATGTTGGACAGGAAGCAGAGTAGAAGAGTAGCAGGGACCAGGGCAAGATAGACCAGTGACATGCCCCCAATGACCTTACTTCCTCCAATTAGACTCCGCTGCCTACACTCCTACCTCCAAAATGGTCTATTCAACTTTTGAATCCACTAATGTATGAATTCATTAGAGTCTGGATTACTCTATTAATGAATGCAGCACCTTGCAATCTAATCATTCTGGAAATGCTCTCACAGATATAACCAATGGTATGTTTTACTAATTTCTTAGATGTTTCTGAATCCAATCAAATGAACAAGATTAGCATCTTGAGCACTTGTTCCTTCAGTGTGCAAATGCCTGTTATCTTCATCTCTACTCCACTTCAGCCATAGATTAGTGTTAATCCTGCAGTGGGGCCAGCATAGAGGCTAATATGATGATGCATTATTAGAATATGGAAGAGATCAGAGGAAGTAACTTATTTCTTCTCTTTGTGCTACCAATGGGTCTTGTCCTTGAGGTGAGGCTGAATTCTAGATTCCTTCAGTGGATAGAAAACATGATGGTCATAGGACTGAAAATTTGTCATGTGCAAAATAGAACAATGTAAAAGGATGTTTATAATAGGGAGACTCAAATGTGCTTGATAAATGTCTTTGGATACGTAAAGAAGTGTCTTAGTGGAGAAGGAGAC